TTGACTTTTATTCTGTTTGGCCATATCCCCGAAAACCTTTTATTGAATAAATCAATCAGGCCCGTTGAAATCTGATTTCTGGCAATGTATTTGGGGTTACATTGTTACATTGTTGTTAAAGCTGAATATACATGTATTATAATAGAGTTCAGTTATTTATTTTTATATATTTAAAGTGGACTGAATCAAAAGATTCAAAAGTAGGAATGGACCAGATAAGATGAGAGGTGAAGAAAGCCCAACTCTTTGTGTCTGAGAAAAGCAATGGAAGGAAACAGAGAAGAGTTTACATTTGGATCCATGTCTGCTGAGTTTATAATTACTATACAGATTGGAAGAGTATAATTAGGCCACCCAAGAGGAGAAGATTTAAACATGAGAGAAACTGAACAGGGCTCTTCTTAACTAAATGTGTAATACAGTGAGATCCAGATTGGTAATAGAAGAATGTGCCTGTGACGCTACACAAGCCTCCACTTTGTTCACTCACCAAATAAGGGCATAAGCAGTGAGTCCTCTCTCCAGGCCCATACAAGCAGCCATGAGGACCAGGGCAGGCAGCAGAGTCCTGCCTCCATCTCTGGCAGCTGTATGTTTCTTTGTAGCTCTGATCAAAGATCAGTCATTCTTATACTTGCAGTAAAGGGAACATTGAACTAATGCTTAACCCTCTTAAGCTAGAAAAAAATGGCCACACATTGGCTGTTCATGGTCATTTTTGAATCTTGAACAGCCAGGATGTGACTTTTTATGACCACTTAAGACTCTTTTAAATGAAGTACTTGTTTGTGTGTGTGTGTGTCGTTGTTGTTCAAATTGCATATCTAAAAAAAAAAGTAAACAACTTAGATTGAGGGAGCAATAAATCAACAAATGTGAAATTGATCCAAAATGATCAGAAGACCAAAAAGGTTGGTCCAAGAAATTGGTCCAAAATGACCACCCTAGAAGTAATAGTTAACCACCCTTATGTTGTCCAAAATATGTATAATTTTCTTTCTCACATTCTAAACCAATTATAGGCCTATAACAAGTATGCAAGTTACTATGGAATAAAAAAAATAAGTAAATAAATACATAAACAACTGTTTGTCTATATTTCCTCAGAAAAAAATAAGTATTTTTATTTGTTTGTTTATTTATTTATTTTGTCTTTCATTTTGCACTAGTGTATGCATATTCCTAGATAGATAGATAGATAGATAGATAGATATAGATAGATCTATCATTCATTTAAACTGGAAAAAAAATGTGTAAACAAGGCTTGGCATGCTGACATTAATGTATCATTCTGATGTCAAATTGAGGTGGGTAAGATTGGTGATGTGATAAAACAGATTAAGATGTAAATGGAGAGAAAGTGGCACAGAAATGTAGTGAGTAAAATGAGAATTTAGTGGAGCAGAGGAGAGGCAGATGAGATGAACAGACAGATAGAGGGGGAAGAGCATTATGAAAAAGAAAAGAGAGAGAGAAAGATATAAAGAGAGATAGATAGCCCTCACTCTGGAGGAGTGGTCTTCCGTCTGCTCTAAAGGATTTCGAGCTGAATTCACCATCACACTCGAGACACACATGCACACACACCTGCTGTGGATATGCCGTTCTCTGTTGTGCTGGATGGACACGCACCGTGGGGCTTTCGACTTATTGGAGGACGGGACTTCAGCCAACCCCTCACCGTCGCCAAAGTGAGTGTGTGTGTGTGTGTGTGTGTGTGTGTGTGCATGTGTGTAGATTTACCAGATTAGGATTTAATTCAGTTGTAATTCACTGAAAAACAAAAGTGCAATGTGTGTTGTAATGTCCACAAGTGCATCTGACTCATTTATAGAAATAGCATCTTACATCACCAATATAGATATAAAAAATACACTTAATCAGACAGCAGACATGACAGTTGAATCACTGATCTGTTTTAGGAAGTGCGGTCATATGGCCTATATGAATTACTTTTCTCATTGATTGTGTATTTATGTAGATAAGTTATACAAATATAAAAAATGTAAATAAATGTAAAAATATATTTCCTTTAGAAAAGGAAAACAATACGATAATTTATATAACAACAACAAGGTTTTCTCCACACATACCGCTTAGAATTAAGGCCGAAATGTTCTATCTTGGTCTCATCAGACCAGAGGATCTTATTTCTCACCATCTTGGAGTCCTTCGGGTGTTTTTTAGCAAACTCCATGCGGGTTTTCATGTGTCTTGCACTGAGGAGAGGCTTCCGTTGGGCCACTCTGCCATAAAGCCCCGACTGGTGGAGGGCTGCAGTGATGGTTGACTTTCTACAACTTTCTCCCATCTCCCGACTGCATCTCTGGAGCTCAGCCACAGTGATCTTTGGGTTCTTCTTTACCTCTCTCACCAAGGCTCTTCTCCCCCGATAGCTCAGTTTGGCCTGACGGCCAGCTCTAGGAAGGGTTCTGGTCGTCCCAAATGTCTTCCATTTAAGGATTATGGAGGCCCCTGTGCTCTTAGGAACCTTAAGTGCAGCAGAATTTTTTTTTGTAACCTTGGCCAGATCTGTGCCTTGCCATAATTCTGTCTCTGAGCTCTTCAGGCAGTTCCTTTGACCTCATGATTCATTTTTGCTCTGACATGCACTGTGAGCTGTATGGTCTTATATAGACAGGTGTGTGGCTTTCCTAATCAAGTCCAATCAGTATAATCAAACACAGCTGGACTCAAATTAAGGTGTAGAACCATCTCAAGGATGATCAGAAGAGATGGACAGCACCTGAGTTAAATATATGAGTGTCACAGCAAAGGGTCTGAATACTTAGGACCATGTGATATTTCAGTTTTTCTTTTTTAATAAATCTGCAAAAATGTCAACAATTCTGTGTTTTTCTGTCAATATGGGGTGCTGTGTGTACATTAATGAGGAAAAAAAATTAACTTAAATGATTTTAGCAAATGGCTGCAATATAATAAAGAGTGAAAAATTTAAGGGGGTCTGAATACTTTCCGTACCCACTGTATATCTATAACTATAAAAATAAAGGACATTTCGCAGTGCCTCACAATAAATAATACTGATAAAGAATTAATAAAATCCATAAAACACAAACAGGGTATGTAAAAGAAAAGAAACAAGACAATTTGATAGCAAAACCGAATACAACAAAATCTGGCATGAATTGAGGATTGCAGTTTGTCATCCCTTTTAAAGAGAATGTTTTATGGGGGAGAACAATGGCTATCCTCATGCTCTATTTATGTGTGTAGCTAAAATTGTTGATGAATCATTGACACTGGAACTAACATTGGATCCTCACACCTGTTGTGGCAGTGGATTTGTGTATTCTACGTCTAAACAAATGTCAGAGAGAGTCCAAAAGAGAGAGAAAGAGAGATAGGAGCACAGTCTGATTCAAACAGCTCTGTTGTTGTTGTTTTTTGGAGGAATATCCTGGTTGTTCTTATCCAAACTGAGGCTGAGAATAAGCCTTTCAAAAAAGCTTCTTAAAACTCACATGATGTAATGAAAACTGAATCTTCACACAATGATCTAGATGCATTAAAAAAAAAAAAAAGGATTGTTTTTAAATAACTTTTACTGGGTTAAAAGGGTTACAACCTATTACATGATAAAAAATCTAGTATTGAAATACACAATGAAGTTATTGTGCTGATCTGTTTGTACAGAGGTTTTATGCCTCTGTTCTTTGTGCAGCTCTAGTTTGAGATTTCTACTTTGCTTTAATGAGATTTCACACTTGGAACATTCTCTGCTCACTCTGTAGTTCAGCATGACACTGTTACTTAATCTCAACATTGTGCAGCCATTTTTGGTCAAACACCCTCCTGTCCTCTGTCTCTGGGCCTTGGGAGGTGTTTTTACTTACAGCTAGGACTGTAACCTGGACTTCATTAATCAAAGTGTTTGGAAAACAGTCCTGTTTTACCAACAGCAGGTTGTTGGACTGTACTCAAAATTTAAGAATGGGATTTGTTGGCCTCAGAAATGACAATAAACAGTGTGGAACTGCTTCAGGAGATGGAAAATTGGTTTTAATAAAAAAATGAGGTCATTTTTTCTATATCTGTTTAGTTCAAGTGGATTCTAGAAACTGAGAGTC